TTTGCAAACCACCTTGAAAGGAAGCAATCAACCACTGCTATCCTCAGATGAGAAAAGCAATGCCAAGAGCAAGGAGATGACATGTGATGTCAATTAAACGTAATTAAGACATTTAAATGTAGGAGCTGGTTTGATGCAGTCATGCGGAGTACATCCACCTATAAACAATACAAAATAACATTCCATTATTAATAACCCAACCAAAAGTGGACTGTGAAAGCCTGTTAAACACTTAACACTGTGGATGATATAAGAAATAAAGCCTGTCCCTTGGTCTCAAGGAGCAATTCTGCTAAGATGCTCTTTTAGCTCTCAAATGCTAATTTCATGAGAAATGAAAAAAACACATTCTTTCCTCAAAAGCTCTATATGAAGGCTGTTTAGACATAACTGTACCAACACAGCTTACACATATTAACTATTGCGGGTATGTGTTATTCTGATACATAGCAGTGCTGGAATAATATGTAAGGCTAAAAAAAATGTATAAACCCTCAAACCATATGCATGACAGAAAATAGCTTTAACAGATGTCTCATTTTTACAGTTTTATGTACCATCTTTTGGTAAATGATGCTATGAATTGCTCTTCTGATTTTTCTTCCAGGCCAACACAAAGGCCTCAGTTTAACAGAGGTTGGAAAGGAACCTGACCAATAAACTGTCCACTTAGAAGATGGTGCCATATATGCAAGTGAATTCCATTGGGGTAGATCATCCAATGGAAGGTATTTGCTATATTAGTCATGAGAAACACTAACTGCCAGTCACTGTGTATTTAAAAAATTGAGACTTAAATAATAACGCTCACTATCATGCTCAATAATATTGCTATTACCTTCAGGGTCAGGATCAGAATCCGTAATGACATGTTATATCAGACAGAGGGGAATGAGAAATACAACATGGGCAAAATGACCTAAATGGGTTGGCTAACAAACAAGAAGGCTGCAAGTTCTTGATTAAGTGGGTGTTATAAAGTATCTCTCAAAAGGAAAACCCGTGAAAACTGACCACTTTGAGGGAGAGGGCTGTGCCCTTACTTCACGACAGAAGGATTACCATTTTAAAGGTCAGAAATTATACAGAGCTAGACAACTAGTCAAAAAATAATAAGCATAAGAATTTCCTAACTTCATGGGTGTTTGATCAAAGAAACTGGTCACTGATAGACATAATACAATCTTATTCAGAAGCCTTTAAACCAGATTGGATTTTTATTGGTCTCGGCTAAGAAGAAAGTAGGTGGTGAGGGTCATAGATCAAGAGATGCAAAAATTATGCCTCTAGGAAAACAAAAGCAAAAATGAACTATTCAGACTATACCAACATAAAAAGATTTTGCACAGTGAAGGAGACCAACAACAAAATGAAAAGGCAACCTACCAAGTGGCAGAAAGATATCTGCAAATGATATAACTGATAAGGAGCTAATATAAAAAATAAAGAACTTATACAATTCGATATCAAAAAATAATCCAATTAAAGTGGGCAAAAGACCTGAATACATTTTTTCCAAAGACACAGAGATGGCCAAGGGACACATGAAAAGATGCTCAACATCATGAATCATCAGGGAAATGTAAATCATACCACAAGGAGATATCACCTCATACCTTTCAAAATAGCTAGTATCAGAAAGATTAAAAAAAAAAATACATAGCAAGTGTTAGCACTGAGGTCGCAAAAAAGGAACCCTCATGCATTGTTGGTGAGAATGTAAACTGGCAGGCACTGTGGAAAACAAAGTGGAGATTCCTCAAAAAATTAAAAATACTAATTCCATACCATCCAGTCATTCCACTACTGGCTATTTACCCAAAGAAAACAAAAACTCTAATTTGAAAAGTAAAACATTAACCACATCCTAAAATTGCATTTTGTTTTTCTGTATCTAAAAGTTATATATTATTATCTTTATTAGTTTAACAACTAATTTGTCTTTTACTCCTTATTCTCATTATTTTGTACCTTTTTCCAGGAATTTAAGAATTTCAGCAGTTACAGTTCACAGTTAAATATTTTTGCATTGTGTATTTTTTTTTAACAATGGATGGATAATTTTGTTTGACTTCTGGGAAAGTCAAAAAATTGTTACAATTCAACTTTCAGTAGGTTCAGACTTTCAGAGTAATCATGGATCAACTCATTTTAAGTGATTTTGTAGGAGAGGCCTAAAATGTAATTATGTAACAAGTTTTGCTTTGTTATGTACACCTGCTGACCTTGTGAACTTATTTATAAGCATTTTAATAGTAAAATTAATAATGGCTCCTTAGTGATAGTTTCCTTTTTTAAATTAATATTCTCACAAAGAGAGCAAGCATGTGATTCTTGTGACTTCATTGAAGGTAAGTCGATACTTAGACAAAAAGGAATAAAGCTAAATGTCTGATATATGAAAGTACTACCTTCATATCTCGAGGCATTTCAATTTTGAAGGGATCTTGACAAGCCAAGAGATAATTATTTCAACAAATGCATTGATAAAAATAGAGAAAATGATCACATTTATCACAGACTTTTATTTTTCCTTGCCTTTTTCACTTTTTAAAAAATTTAGACAAATAGAAAAATAACCTATTTCAAACATGTCATATGAATTACACATTAAAAAATAAAGTCTAAAAAGTAGACATTTCATTGTTCATTCATATATAATGTATATTCAGCGGCATTTAGCTGACTTTGCATTTTATGTCAATGATTTGGCATGGTATGTTTTCCCAATGTGTCCCAGATGTTATGCGAAGTCCTGAGCACATATAAAAAAATGTGTACACATGCATGTGTATATATGTGTTTCAGGGAGGGGGGAATCCAACAATAGCCCTCGTAACTTTAATAAAAGCTGCTATTTAAACCATATGAAAGTTAACTATTTTTATAAAAATTTAAATGGTTTTAGTGAGCATTTATAAAATGTGTACTGCCTTACGGCCTTTAAATCTGACAGCTGATGACATAAATTTTCTGGATGGTGATCAAGTACATGTTGATGCAGCTGTTGCCATGTTGCCTTAGTAAGTAAGACATGCTGAAGCATCTACTTCAGTTTCAACTGGCTGAGCATGACTTTCTTAAATGATGACTAATGACCTATGACTTTTAATAATGAGTATCTAAAATCTCGATTGCCAGTAAAAATAAAATCTAATTTAAACTCTGTAAAAGTTTGGGGGAGGAGGAAGAGAATTCTCTACTGCACAAAGAGCAAACTCCCATACTGAAAGGTGTATTTCTAAAAATGAATAAATAGTGTTTCAGAAAATCTACGGGTTGTGCTCCCAAGGAACAAAATTGGACTGTGGGTCACTTTGTAACCATCTTGCACCCTGTACCCTTCTTATAAGGCCTGGCAAACTTTTTAAGTTGTAGCATGGTTAGGAGTTTCTTTGCTGACGGGACAATATTAATTGTTCAACAATCAGTACTCAAGAGGATTTAGGGTTTCCATTAGCTTTAATACATTACCTATTCTACCTTATGAAGACAAAAACCAAATTTACATCCATCTTTTAACATTTAAAAAAAACTTGCCATTTGAAAAAAAACAAACTTTCTATTTGAAGTGCAAGCTGTGCATGCACTTTACTTTGTATAGTTAGGCATTGTTTTCAACTTTTCAGTAAGAATGACTTTACCATAAAACATACACTCCACATTTAAATACACATTAAAATAGAATACCCTCTTCTTTTTCCCTTTCTTTCAAAGGAAAGAGAGACAAAACAACTTCTGTATGTTTGAATTTAGAAAATGATAGTGCATTTCTTCTTTTTGATTGTGGTTATTCACTTTTGCCTTAAAATTACACATCCTTTATTTTCTGTCTATGGAAACACATTATCTTGGTTTTTAAATTTTTCTTGTATGTGCCTTCCATGATATGTATATATTTCAATTACGAGAACAATTTTGTATTTTTAAAAACTCATGCTGGAAACTATCACTATGGAGAGAGGAAGAAGGAGGTAACAAAAGTAAGCCAACCAACAAGATAGTGCCCTGTGGTGTATTCTAACTATTTGCTCGCCAAATGACCTCGAGTGACTTCTAACCCTCTTCTAATACCATCACTCAAAATTGGGTCCACTTGCCTTTTCATTAACCACCGAACCTTCCTTTGCCACTCTGAATTTTGCTCACCTCAACCAAGGGAAGTACAACCTGCCTCTAAATCCAATTACAGCTCTCGGGCTTCTCTTACAAATGCTCTGCATTTTAATTTGTTAACATGCTAAGATTATCATATCTCTGTAAATATAAAAAGCAATAGAAAATTAGCTAATGTCTTAGAAACAAATGCTTTCTTAAGTAACCAATAGTTCATTATACATTTCACAGAGCATAGGCCTGGGAGTACAGCCTATTTGCAGTCCACACTGCAACTGCTGGTTCTGGAAACAGGTCTCTCCTCCTTCCCCATTTGTCTGTGTTTTCGGGTCACACAAGGAAAACAGGGAAGCCGGCTGTTGAGGGGGAGGTTGAATGGGTGAAATGATGGGCTGAATTTCCCAGGGCAGCTCAAAGGCTCAATTTTATGTTTTACACACTGTATTGAAGTTCTACATAAAATAATATTTGAAGAAAAAGTCATGGTTCTTAAAAAAAGGTTAAAGCTGTGGAAACCACATTAGATGATTCCTTCCCAAACGCTACTATGAGTTTACACAAATTTTTCAACCCGCAGCAGGCTGAGATGAACTGATGGCTGCATTTGGGTAAGTATTAATAAAATGAGTAACAATGTCAGGTTTGCTTGCAATGTCAAGTGTGCCTCTGATCTTAGCTGCATTATACACTTCAAAGCTGGATACACTAATAATTATTAAGTGATATACACAAGGTGTATCACTATACAGTGACAGCCCGGATCATACCAGGTACAAAAGATACCCTACATATATTATGAAAGGCAAAGTAATGTCTACATAGTTCATAAATGAACTTATACAATAGATATCAACTAAATAGCATTTGTGAGATTTCATAAATACCCTCGTGCTGGAATATTCATGTGCCTCGCAGACTTAACAACCTCCTCAAACTTCTCCATACTTTCTTCAATAGAACAGTTAATATTCTTCTTGCTAAAGGATTCAGATGCAGCACCAAAAACTGATATCTCTGTGGCTCCAGCAGCAACCTGAAAAAGAGAATTTGAAGGCAAAAGCTAGAAATTTCCAAAATGTACATCATAGCATTAGAAGAAATATTAACTACTCAATAAAGGCATACTTGTGTTCTTTAACATTCGCCTTGGAATTTAAAATTGGAGTCTGCTCATCCTTACGCTCTTTTCAAACTTAAAAATATTTGGTGATAACACAAGAACTTTCTAAACTGCAACACCCATAAATCTGAGGCACAGAAAACACAGTGATGATGTTCTAATTTAATTTTACCTTTCCTAAATTATGTGTAGACTTCAGAAATATCTTAACTGTAATTATGGAAAATACTAGCACCCCAATAAAACCATTTAATATCTATGGGAAACATTCTTCTTAGACCAATTATTAAAATAGAGGAAAGTAAATGCTTTGTTTTTGTCTTCCCATAACCTAACAGAAAAATGTTTTTCCAATTCATCATTTAGACATTGCCCAAAATTTTCTTCCTGTCTCTTAACCTAGCTTCTGTTGTTTCATACCTTGACTGCTACAACCATACTTTTGTGTGTCTAATGTCTTAATCCTCTTAGCCAGTCTTTAAATCCAAAATATTAACCTCAACATTTTTCCCCTTTGCCATCCTTTGTCCTTGCTCCAGGCTTCTCCAGTGACTTGTTTTCAAATATCAAGTTTCTTCATTTTCCAGCTGGATTTTTAAAGACTTTCTATTAATGTATCTCTAGCACTGTGCAAGATTCTCCTCTCTTCCTGATACTCTATTAATATATTAAGAAAGAAAATGTCATTTTTTTCTTCATTTAAAAAAACATTGGCTTCTAGTCCTCCACCCAAAATAGATTTTTAACTTCTAAAATTAAAATTCTATTTATTTGAACACTTACTATGTACCAGTATTGTTGTTAGTAATAGGGCTTTGTACGCCCTATCTCTAACCCATAATCTTATAAACTAAGTATCATTTTGCCCATTTTATAGATGACAAAACTGTGGCCCAAAGAGGCTAAATCACTAAAGCTACTAAAAGTTCTGAAGTCCTGCTTTGAGCACAGGTGCGCCTGACTCCCAAGCCACTAGTTGCACTCCATTGCCTGCCCCTCCAAGCTATCACGAGGGTGTGCACTCAGTTGGTATCTTTTTCAAGGTGGAGACATTCTCTACTCTGTTAGGACCAGTGACAGCAATATTTGTAATTTTTTAAAATGCCTCTTTCTTTCTTTACAATGGGATAAAAAAATTTATCAAAATAAACAAAAGAGTCGTTTTAACAAGCTACACAACAGGTGATATATCAACTAGCACCCACAACCTCAAAATTAGGCAACACAGTCCCAAAGACAAAAGTGAAAAATATTAACACCAGAAATAGCTGCTGCCAAACTTTTACAGTAAAGCCATGTGAGCGTAACATCTCAAGCCATGACCTAAAATTGCTCTGATTCTTCTTGTACGTGTCATTATTAAAACTTTTTGCATATAAATTCTTAAGTCACACAGGACTGGAAGAAACCAACCAGAAGAGGAACAGGGAAGGTTGTTAGAGGCAACTTCAAATGACAGTGATTAGCTTCACCTAGAGGGTGGGAACAAGAGCATCAGAGAGTTGATCCAAAAAGTTGACAAAAATGATCCACTATGATAAGATTAATAATTATAATATTAATTTGAGAAATGTTTAAGTTAAATTCTGTATTCCTTATTTAAGAGGGAAGCACAAAATATACTCTCGGAAGAATTTCATCAAAACGGATAACTGTATTTTTGTGTTTTGATTCCTGAATGGTTAAACTGGAAGGGCCATTAATGTGGAAGAATTCAGACCCTAACAATACCCCGAGGTTTACAGATCGCATTGTACTCATGTACCTATGTTAGAATGGCATTTATACAGGGTAACAAGGAAGCGACATCTGATACCGTTTTAACTAGGTAAAGACCTTAAAACAGTAAGAAGCATATTGATATAAAAATAATGAGTAGCACACTTACAGCACGGTGAAAACCCTGAAGATTAGGAGTAAGGACAGGATATCGAACTCCTGGGTATTGATGAATGCCTTTCATCACTTCAGTGTGATCAGCCATCTGAAATACAAAATAGTTATATATAATCAACTTTAAATATTTTATTGAGCATGGTTTAGTTTTATAGGAAGGTTATAATTACACACGCAATTATATTCTATAAATTAATATTAGAAATAATAAGCTATGCCATTGTAGCTGAAGATAAGTAATTTCTAAAGTCATAAATACATGAAAACTAGATCTGGGTTTAACTTATTCACATAACAGGACCTGGCTAAATGATTACAAATAGTCAACAATTCTTAACTTTACTATTTTCACTTGACTGATTTTTAGTCTCTTCCCTTCATTTCACAACTCAAGTTTCAAATAAAAATACCCTTGAGATTAAGGAGAGGGTTTTTTTAAGATTTTATTTTATTTATTTATTTATTTGAAAGTGGTGGGGGGAGAGAGAGTGCAAGAGCAGGGGGAGGGAAAGAGGGAGGGGGAGAGGGAGAGTCTCAGAAAGACTTTCTGCTCAGCGCGGAGCCTGACATGTGGCTCGATCCCATGACCCTGAGATCATGACCTGAGTGGAAACCAAGAGCGCCAATGTTTAACTGACTGAGCCACCCAGGCTCCCCTCCACTGGGGAGAGTTTTAAAGGAAATATGCCATGCATTTGCCTTCCATATGAAAATTTTATGTCTAAACAACTTTCAATATATGAAATTTTACATTATTTAGTAAAAAAAATTACACATCTGTTTGAATAATTTAACAAGGCTGAGATGATAGTATATTATTTGGTTAGCATAAATATTTTAGTAATAGTCATAGTGTCCTATGCATTATTATCAATGGATTACTATTTGTTCTCATAATGAAAACAAATGCATTCAATGGAGCACATAGTAAGAAAATTTAACCCATCCTTCCAAACCTTTATTCTTCTATATTTTCTATGAATCTTTAAAAATCAACCTTAAATTATCAAATCTTCTAGTTTGCCACAAAGTCTTTAATTTAGCCTCTTAGAGCAAATAACTGATGATCAAATCTCATAATCATCACATAGACAAATTACCACTGACATAATCATGAGCTTTACATATTTAGGAAATAAATTATGGCAGGAACAATAAGCAAAAGGAATAATATATAAATAATGAAAAGTATACAAAATGAGCACGGAGAAAGCTGTAAAATGCACCAAACCAAAATCTGCATCTTCAATATGGGAATGGATGAGGTAAGACTTGCTTTTTCTCTATCCATCTTGACTTGTTACAATAAGGAAGTATTATTTTTAATTTTTTAAAGTTTTTTTATTTGACAGAGAGAGAGAGACAGCGCGAGAGGGAACACAAGCAGGTGGAGTGTGACAGGGAGAAGCAGGCTTCCCGCTGAGCAGGGAGCCCGATGTGGGGCTCAATCCCGGGACCCTGGGATCATGACCTGAGCTGAAGACAGTTAACTGACTGAGCCACCCAGGTGCCCCTTATTTTTAATTTTAAAATGAAATAAAAATTAATCAAAGTAAAAGTGCTTTATAATATAACCATGCACTTAAAAATATGAAATATTACAATATTTACTGCTATTAGCCAATCGGTCTTACTTTCAGTGAAATGCCAGTGGAATTACATTTAATACTTTCAAGGAATATAATATGGATTAAATGAGTTTTTAATACATTTTAAATTTAAAATTAAGATGTAAAAAAAGTTGACTGCCATCATACCTTACTGACATTTAAGCCTCCAAGTTTCATTCGATCCAAACACATTTACTTCTGTCTAAAAGGTGATTCTTGCTTACTTCTTAGGGATCACATTCACTATCTGCCACCAATATCTGCATTCTGTACAAAGACTAATCACTGTGTTCATCTACAATGCATAGAACCCAAGTCTCTAATTTCATTTTGAGCCTATTTGACTTTAAGCCAGATGTTTATTAAGCACCTACTGTGTCCAAAACCCTATACTAGACCCGTGGTAAATATAAATACAGGAAAGTAAAGTCCTTGCACTAAATAATTTGCAGTAAAGTTGGGGAGATAAAACAGATGCATATGGAAAACAATGTAAAGGAATATACTGGCTACAAATGAGAGCACAGGTTAAATGAGTTCAGAAAGGTGAAAGGTTTGTAGGCCCTCTAAGAGTCTAGGAGAGTTACAAGAGGTATGGGATACAAACGGTAGGACATGACTATGGCATATTAAAATTTAAAAAGCTAAGGGCGTCTGGGTGGCTCTGTCAGTTAAGTGGCCAGCTCTTGATTTCGGATCAGGTCATGATCTCAGGGTCTTGAGATTAAGCCCTGGGTCGGGTTCTGTGCTCAGTGGGGTGTCTGCTTGAGATTCTCCCTCTGCCCCTCTCCCCCTCTCACTCTCTAATTAATAAATAAATCTTTAAAAATAAATAAAATAAATAAAATTTAAAAAGTGGCCACAGCAATATCTCTAATCCTACATGCTCTTCCAGAAGCTCAACAGTCCCTATCAAGAGGTGAACTGTGTTACCTCTACTTAAATCTAGGCAGACTTGTGATTGCTCCAAGCAATAGAGTATAACAGAAATAATAACATGTGACTTGAGAGCCCAGGTTATAAAAAAGGATACAGCTTCCATATGGCTTTCTCTTTGGGGGTGGGAGGAGAGCCACTGCAGGGAAATCAGTTAACATGCAGTGAGAAAAATTAGCTTCTGCAGAGAGGCCATGTGCAGGAGCCCAGGTGGAAAGACCCACGTGCAAAGAAACTAAGGCCCCCAGACAACAGCCAGCATCAGCTCCTAAATTTGTGACTGAAAGAGCATTCAGATGGCTTTAGCCTCCAGCATTCAAGTCACCCAGATGAAGCCCCAGACACTGTGGACCAGAGACAGGTGTCCTCCTGTGTGTGACCTGTTCAAATTCCAACGCTCAGATTTCATGAGCATAGCACATATTTATTTATACCACTAAGTTCTCAGGTAATTCATTACATAGCCATAAAATCTGAAACACAGAAAAATCAATAGAGCTGGAAAAGAGGGAGCAATAGGTGCTGCAGTAGGAAAGCATTATCTGGCTAGAGAAGATTATGGGTAAATAAGGTGGGAATAGATTATAAATGAAGATAGGGGACCATACACTGTGATTGTCCTCCAGTTATGTTCACATTATCTAAAAATACAGAAGGCAGTAGAAAGCCACCAGGAATTGGTGTTGAATTAGCTGAAGACTGAGATGCATGCAGTATTTTGGAAAGAGCAAGGCAAAGGGTAGTCTAGACACAAGTGAGGCAATTCTCAGGCAATTGTGAGAATTCAGCATGCAACAAGTTCCAGAAGAATGGTACTGGGAATAGAAGCTCCCAGGAAAAATTAATAGGACACACTGGCTAGTCGTGTAAGGGAGAGGACTTTATTCAAAAATGTAATCCCCATTAGTTTATAGCCTTTTAAAATTATTTAGCATTTGTGCATATTTCAACACAGTCTTTTATTACATATCTATGAATTTAGCCTTTCTGTCTGATGCTAGATTGTGAGGTCGGCCTTTCTGTGTCTGTCTCTTTCTCTCACACACACAAATGTACATGCAAACATGTACACACAAATTATAGTAAAAAAATTAGAATACCACTCCTAATTTCAAGCAAAGTTACTACTAGTTTTAGAGCACTGTAATGAAATCTAAAACAACACTGGACAGTAATCTTAATATTACTGGACAGTATTTACTGGACAGTAATCTTAACATTACTAATATGTCTAACTAAACATAGCATGTTTAAATATTTATTAGAAATATTTACATATGGGTGCCTGGGTGGCTCAGTTTGTTAAGCTACAGCCTTCAGCTCAGGTCATGATCCTGGAGTCCCGGGATCGAGTTCCACATTGGTCTCCCTGCTCAGCAGGGTTCTGCTTCTCCCTCTGACCTGCCTCCCTCTTGTGCTTTCTCTCTCTCTCATTCTCTCTCAAATAAATAAAATCTTTAAAAAAAAAAGAAACATTTACATAACCATGGTAACAGAAATGAATAAAGTGTGTTTCTAACCAATATACGGATTTGGTTAAAGTGTGCATCAAAAAGCAGCATAAAGGGCACAAAACACATTCTTTAAGAAATATAGGTCATATTGACCTGTATGCTATTATTTCATTCCACATGTAAATTAATAAAAATTTGAAGAGATGTTTCAGTCAATAAAACTGAAAAATGAATAGAGATGATAGTGACCAAATTTCCAGGTCAGAAAACCTAAACTTTGATAATCACTGAAGATACCATTGTGAAATTTTAATCCATAAATTTGATTCCAACAAATCAGTACTTTTTCCTTTTTTAAAATAGTCGCAGTATAATGAGGTAATCTAATAAGTAGTAGCATTCAGTGTAAATTTGGTCAATAAAAACAGTTATGTAAAGAGCTTTAGAAAATCCTGATAGGATATAATTTTATTACAATGAATAAATAAAACAGGTTTCAAGTAAAGGTATAAAATTCTTGCCTTACTATTTTTTTTTACTCTTAGGAAGCTTATGCTATACTTCAATCTTGATGTTATTTTAATGTCTAAAGTTTAAACTATTATTCAAACAATAATGGAACTATTTCTTTACAGCACTATTTTGACATTTTAATGAAACCTTTCTACATCTGGTTTGATTTAACATATTTTAAAGATTTTGCTGTGACTTTTCATTTACGATCATAAAAATCCCCATAATTTGGTTGATAACATACTTTGCTATCATCTGGCCACAGTCTGGAAATGGCAATATCTAAGTCTATCTGGCCAACAAAACTGGCTATACCTTGGTTAATCAATTTCTTGGGAATCCACTTTATATATGGATTCAAATAATATTTGCATAACACTTTGCAAGAGTATTAAAGATATGCAAAAAGTCATAAAGATTAGAGTGTAATAGTCATAGTTTAGAGATTTTATTTGCTACTGTCATGTGGTAAATTTAGGCACTCCACATTATATATATTTGGACATCTTACTAATATTTTGTCATTATCTGAATACTATAATCTCTCCTAAATACATAGGGTCCTCATCCAAGTT